TTTTAAAAAAATGAAAGAAAAAATTATCTTGCTATTGTTAGCTGATTTATCTTATACCTAAAAGAACTAAATTTGAGACATAATTCTTTCGCTCAATTGCTAGTCAGCTGGCTTATCTTATAGGTAGTACTTAAAAGCACTACATATATGAGAGAATCCTCCGCTCAATTGTAAACGCGTTTATCTTCTAATATCTAAAAGCACAATATATGAGAGAAAATTCTTCTTATATCTAAAAGCACTACTTATGAGAGAGAAAATTCACCCTCTCCATTGTTAGCCGGCTTATCTTCGTATACCTAAAAACACTACATATGGGAGAGAAAACTTTCCCGCTTAATTGTTAGCCAGATTATCATATCATACTTAAAAGAACTACATACGAGACAGAAAGTTATCTTGCTCAATTGTTAGGGATTTTATCTTTTTATTTTCATATACCTAAAAGCACTACTTATGAGAGAGAACATTATCACGTTCAATTGTTAGTAAGCTTATCTGATAATACCTAGAAGCACTACATGTAAGAGAGAAAATTTTTTCGCTCAATTATTAGCAAGCTTATCTCTTATACATAAAACCACTACACATGAGAGAAAATTATAACGCTTAATTGTTAGCCAGCTTATCTTATAGCTAAAAACATTACATATCAGAGACAAAATTCTTGTGCTCAATTGTTAGCCGACTTATCTTCTTATACTTAAAAGAACTACATATGAGAGAGAAAGTTCTCTCGCTCAACTGTTAGCAAATTTATCTTCTCATACCTAAAAGCACTACATATGAGAGAAAAATTCTACTGCTCAATACAATTTTCCCTATCAACTATTATGCCCTAAATAGTAGAGGAATTGCCCTAAATAGGAGTAATTAAACAACTTTGGGAATTCTGAAATAGGACCACTGTGTTTTTCTTTCCGAAAAAAAAGTCATTACTGTCATGACTGCAAAATACTGGCATGATTGAAAAATACTTCCATTGGTTATAATAAATATTGTCATGTTGAATGCATAGTAATGCAACTATTTGGCAGCCATGACTAAAAGATGGCAGTAAATATTGTCATATTAGTCTTATTTCCGGAAGAAAACCATAGCAGTTCTATTTTGAAATTTTAAACTCTGTTTAATTCTATTTTGGGAAATCTCCCGTAATAATACTTAAAACCACTACATATGAGAGAGAAAATTCTTTCACTCAATTGTCAACCGACTTCTGTAATACCTAAAAGCATTAAATGTGAGACAAAAATTTTCCCGCCCAATTGTTTTAAAAAGTTTATCTTCTGATACCTAGAATCTTATGCATAAAAAACTACATATGAGAGAGAAAATTCTTCTGTTGAATTGTTTGTTTGATTATCTTATACCTAAAAGCACTGCTTATGATACAAAAAATCTCTCGCTCAATTATTAGCCGGCTTTTCTTATACATAAAAACACTATAATATATGATCTTTTTTTGCAGTATAGAAATTGTTTTAAAAAATGACATGTCGGGCCTCTAAAAATATTATTTTAAGGAAGGTAATGCATTTAATGTATATGTGACTTTTTATTTAGCAAGTTTGACATTATTTTTAAACTCTATTTCCTCAACACATTACATATGAGATAGAGAATTCCCTCTCATTCAATTGTTAGCCAAATTATCTTACACCTAAAATCCCCCCCTCAATCATGTAAGAACCATATCATTTTGTCATTTATTGATAAATTCATAAATCAACTTTGATTCTCTCTCACCCAAAACTATGATACTATGAACATGATTAAAAAAATCATTTGAAGTCAAGGCATTATGCATGTGGTACTCTTTCTATCACTATGTACGGTTTTATATATTTTTGTCTGTACCGAAACCGTACTGTTTGAAACGGGTACGGGACCGGTCCTAGATTTTGAGAACCGGAAAATACCGGACCGAACCGTTTGAAAATAATGCACTTGAATTTTTTTATATTTTTTTCTATACCAATTCATTAGATCTCTTTTATAGACCAACAATTTTATAGCCCAAGTATGTACTTATGCATCCTTAAAATAGCTAAATGTGTGTTTATATGTATAATATATATACTGTTATTTTTCCTTTTTAGATTATTTATGTTATATTTTGGTATGTATTGAAAGAATATTAAAATTTTAGAGAAATCATTAATGACTTCATTTCTAGTGATGTTAGCGTACATGACTTTTTGTTGTATCATGTTTGTGCAATTTTATAACTTAATTAATATGGTTTAAATCTTAGCTCTCAAGGTTCAACTATAAATTAAATTAGAACTATGGAGTAATATTTAACCTAGAATGAAGAAGAAGAAGAAGAACATTGAGGATTTCTATTATATTCACATGAATATTTGATGATATTCGTTTTTATATTTTCATATTAACTAAGTAAATTAAGGATGATATTTATCTCGTGTGTCATCATTTTGCTAATACTCTTTCTTAGTTGTGTTGCACTATTTGTTTATTTGTGAATTTTAGTCCTATATATGCAATTTCTTGTATTTATATCAACATTTTATGTGAGTTGGTTGGTGTGATGATAACTACTAATTGCAAGATCTCTACAAATTTTTTAGCATGTGTTTGACATTGTACCATACCGTTTTGTACCGTTCCAAAACGACATGGTACCTAACGGTTCTATCCTTGAAACCGCAACGTACCGGATCGTTAAAAACCTCATGGCTACATAACTACATTACGGGTTTTACTAATTTATCGGACCGTTCTGGACCGCGCCCACTCCTACCGGTTCTAACCCGGGCCGGTACCGGGCCTTAATATTTATGACCCGGAGCCCGGCCCAGCATGGCCCGGAGCCCGGCCCGGCACAGGCCCAGTCCACCCCTAGGTTAAACCGTATGGAATGTGAATAACCGCAAATTACTTGAAGGGGTAATTCTAAATACAAACACATATTTACTAAGTGCATCCCATTATTTTGGTAATACCTATAGTACCCTTATTACAACTTTACAACACAGCTGTTTTCCTTGAGACTCTCCTATCGGAAGGCCATCTTCAGCGGCGACCACTTGCTCCTCCACGGCGCTAAAGCCGATCACTCCCTAATTAAAAAAGGCCATCTTCTACACCAAAGAAACCCATTCCTTTCCACAGGTAGTCAGGTACCACGAGATGTTGTGCGGAAGTGCCGCGCCGCCAACGCGTGGCGTGTAACCCACATAACAAAAATGACACTGGCGGAATCATGATCTACAACGACAAGTCGACGGCCATATACTACGCTGCCTCAGAGAGTTTGACATTTGATCGAGGACAACCTTCCTCTGCGCCCACAAATAGCAAAGGGTGGGATTTAACCACACCTCCGGTTTGGTAGGTCTCAGCCGCTGGCGGCTGGCCTTGGTCTCCCAGCTCAACGTCTCCCAACTCTCAAACGGAGTATTTCTTAACCGATCTGGAAAGTTGTGGCTTTGATCAAATTATTTTCCTTTATATATACGGAGTATATTATTATCTCACTTAGGGAGTGTTTGGGATTGCTTCTACTTTAAAAAAGTGATTTTTTAAAGTGATTTTGGAGAAAGTCCTTAATAGTAAAAGTTGGTAGTGTTTGAGAAAAAAGTGATTCTGAAAAAGTAAAAGTTGGTAGTGTTTGGTAAAATAAGTGATTTTTGTGTAATAGGAAAAAATGAAAATCAGTTTAAAGCATCCTTCCACCTGCTTCCAGCTTTAAGCTTTTAAGTGATTAATTTAAGCAGAAGCTGTCATTTGAAAACACTCTTTTCAGCTTTTTTTAATCCAAAAGCTAAAAAACACTTTTTTAAAGTAAGTGCAAACACTCCTTTAGTGGAACGTCTCTTTGAACAAAAACAATCTGAAGGACTGATCACTGATATGCGCCTGTGTCCGCGTGTTTTAATTTACTTTGTATATTCTAAAAGGGCAAATTAGATATTCAATTAATTTGGGGGCTGTGTTTAGTAAAATTAGGGCTGTGAATAGAACTTCCTTACTTGAACTCAACTCGATGTCTCGACGATATCCAAATCCAATAATATTTAGGATGTTTTCTTTTGGACTGAAATTTGCTGGTCTGGTCTGGTCTGGTCTGGTGTGTTTAAGTCTGGTCTGGTCTGGTCTGGTCTGGTCTGGTCTGGTCTAGTCTGAACTGGTCTGGTCTGGTCTGGTAAACGTCTGGTCTCTGTGTATTTTATAACTACAGAAGTCTGGTCTGGTCTGGTCTGGTCTGTTTAAGTCTGATCTGGTCTGGTCTATTTAAGTCTGGTCTGGTCTGGTCTGGTCTGTTTAAGTCTGGTCTGGTCTGGGACTGAAAACAAAACATCCTTATATATGCATTAATAGGGTGCGCATGACTGCATAAGTTAATTCAGTTATTTAAACAAATTTAGTGTGTGTGTTGATGAGAATTTTTAAGATTATCATAATTCATAAACTGGGTCCGTGGTTAAAGTTATCAAGCCTTGAAGGCCTGATTTTTAGAATCAATTTTCCTAACCAAAGTTATCATGATAAGATTGGCACTGGCCTACAATCCTACATGTATAACTTTATTTTAAAAATATGTATAAAAAAAAAGATTCATGTTATTTATGACATGCAAAAAAATAACTTTATTTATGTTATTTTAAAGTTTGCTACATTTTTCTTTTTTGATGTATTCAAAAATTTGCTACATTTTCCCTTTTTGGTAAGTTTTTTTTGTAAAAATACTCAATTACCCTTACTTTTTCTACTTTTTATCTTCTCTTTCATACTTTTCCACCTTCTCTCATATTTTTTCTACACTATTCATTACCCCTATTATTTCACCCTTAAATGTTGTGCCCAAATCTAATGCAGAAAACTTTGAAATACGAAGGGAGTACTATATGACCATTTATCTCCTGATTTGGCTGAGTGCGTGAAAATTTTGTAGTTGGAATTTGTTTTGAAGAAAGAAACAATATTAACAGCAGAATCATTTTTCTAAAAGGAAAAAATAAATAATTTAGTGAGAAAATAAAAGAATGCAAATAAAAAATGTGATAGAAGGAGATACTTTGATCCTCAGCTGAGGGCAGTACGCATCATGCATCAACGTCTCGATTTAATCTTTTAAATGTGTATTCAGTGGGTGAATCACAAGTCAATAACGGAAAACATTAAGAATTTTATGAAGGAAATATCTCCAAACAATCCAAAACATCACTTTTCACAAAGTTGGCCCATCAAATCTCAAAGGTAATGTATGTTGCTGGCTGTAGTAAAATAATTAATCAACAGCTGTGCGACCACCCCTCCCGTATTTGATTTCACCGGACAAACCAAAGACGCTAGGTTTTTGATGTCATAAGAGACAAAGCGGTCTTAGAAAGTGGCATCTGCTGGATCAAACTTCACAACCGAAGGACTCTGATTTTTGTTACCTCTCAGCCGGGAAGTGACCTTGTCAATGACAGAATTCAGTTGCTGTATCCTTTCATTCAAGGATTCCCTGTTCCTCTGCATTTTTCATGAACGAACATAGGAAATGATACATTAGAGAGAGTTGTTGGTGGTGCAAATGTCCAATGAAATGATTCTCCACACAATTGTTTATTACCTCCAAGTCATCATAATAGATTGGTCGCCTAGCCTTTTGAAAACCAGCTTCATTCTCATTTAGGATAGATCTTCTTATCTAGACAAGTCATGTACAACATTAAGCTCTCATGACTTGAGACCAAAAAACATAATAGAATGCTCAACAGCTAAGCAGTTTAATCAACTATTCAACTTTATATATTTTGGTCAAATAACTAAATAAGTAAGCATCCTTCAAAATTTGAAAATTGCAGTTTATAAAAATTAGAACCTGAACTTATCTTGCTAGTGACATAATAAAGGGGCTTAAACGGATTACTCTACAGTTAGATGTGAGCAAATTTAGCAGGGTTATTTTTTGTCTACGTTCTATTACTTCTATATCAACATACATCTCTGTGTAATACTGATTAACTTCCAATCACGTCTTTCTTACCTGCTCAGCATTTATCATATATTTAGCGTTCATTCAATTTGGCATTCATCAAAGAGGAAAATGCCAGGATCAAATTAGATAACTTTCCCTTGCACTATTTTTTTAACAGCACTGCAATAACATGATAGACACCCGAGTGAAGCTGCTAGTACTAATAATGATAATAAGCATTACCGGAAGGTCTATAGTAGGAGAAAGAAGTATAACAATTAGTTAGTTGCTGACTGCTGAGGTGTAATTTCTGTTGGTATTATGAATAGAATAAATAGATGGGAAAGGGGAGTTAGTAAGGAGGCTGTTAGACAGTTTAGTCTGGACTGGGAGGATTGAGACTCATCATCTCTTTCTTTGTACTTCGTTGTATTGGTTTCCACCATTAATGAAGTTGGAGTTATTTCTTGAATACTTTTCATCTTTTCTGTAAATCTTTGAATACCTGGAGTTGTTCAATCATAACAGCAGAGAGGTTGTGATCAAATCTTATTTCTTTCAGTAGTATGTTTTTCGCCGATCAAGCTAGTCTAAAGCGGACATAAAATTTCTTGTTCTGCCAGGCATATGTGAGAGCAACAAAACCCATTTAAGGATATTTTGGCAAACAAAAAAAAGGATAGTCACAGAAAGCATATATGGGATGTGTTCAAGCTACACACGAAGTAGTCCAACTGTCTTTCTGTCCATGATATGAATCAGAAAAACTTAAAAAGGTGTTACTTTGAGATAAAAGTTAAGCGGAGTCAAAGAGAACTGTATAACCACCTCTGGGGCAAAAACATAGCCAAGTGCTCCACATATTGCACCTCCCAAGAGAAATCCAGAAATAAATTCAACGGCGCCTCCACCTCTACTTTCACTAAATGAAAAAAAATCCATTTTATATAAATGTGGCTAAGAAGAGAGTTAAATAAAATACTAGATCTGCTAGAGAACACAAATAAACTATAGTTTGAGTGAACGAGGTTTGCATGTAAGTCAGGAAATTAAGAAACATTATCATAAAAATTAAATAGTTCCTAATAAGAGATCAATTGATTCTTTAGAGGAGGACACTATTAGTGTGAACACTACACGAAAGATAAATCAGCAGGTCATTTGAGAAATCCTTCCACAGAATCTGATAACCAACTCTGGTAGTATGACCGTCAAACGCTAAATAGAAGCAGGGTGTGAAAAATGTGCGGTATCAATTTAAGCATTTCAGCCACAGAAAGAAAAAAATACGGGATAAGAGTCAGTTTGGTCCTCGAAGTTGCAAAAAAAGGGTCAAATAAGTCCTTATATAGAAGATTCTGTCCGGACGTGCCATTTGAGGTGGCTCCCGGTGGAATTTTTTGATGAAATTTTTTTAGCATCTTATTAATTAAGTCTAGTTTACTCATACCAAATTTCAGATAAAAATTCAATCGGGAAGACATTCAAATGAATTCTTGAAGATAACTGTGCCGTTAAAAGCGCTGTTATCTTCAAGAATTCATTTGAATGTCTTCCCGATTGAATTTTTAGCTGAAATTTGGTATGAGTAAACTAGACTTAATGAATAAGATGCTCAAAAAAATTTATCACAAAATTCCACCGGGAGCCACCTCAAATGGCACGTCCGGACAGAATCTTCTATATAAGGACTTATTTGACGCCTTTTTTTTTGCAACTTTGAGGACCAAATTGACCCTTTACTCAAAAAAATACTGAGGATACTCGTATACGACTTTAAATTAAATGCAATGTCACTCAATGATGAGGGAAATTATGTAGCTGGGCATTTCTTTCCTTTATCCTTCCAAATTCGCTTTTTTGTAAGGTGGAGGACTTATATCAATCTATATAACTAAAATAATGATCTGCAAAGGTGTCAGAACAGAAAAACTGGGGTTGTGTAAACTTTCTTCCCAAGACCCTACGCATGTGAATGAGTGCATTACAAAAAGCATTATACTAAGGGCACCCTAGTATTTAAAATATAAAAGATGCTAAACAACCAAAGAACAATATTACTAAAGATAATACAAGGAGCAGTAACAACCCTTAGATCTACATGTGTTATACTGCTCTTTGAACCAAATCATACAATTTTCTTATGGCCCAAGGACATGTCGCTATTCATGCCTTAAATGGAAGCAATTAGGATAATAAGTCAAACATCAAAATCATGCAAGAAAGTTTATTGCACCAAATCCCCTATAGGACTGAATCCTGCAATGCCAAAAAGCTGCAAGACTCTTTCTTATCTAGACTGCAACTCTGCATATATGTAAAATAATAAAAATTTAAATTCTTTCACTGGCAATTTTATTTAATAAATCTGGAAGACAAATACATTGTGACTTAGGCTAGGGCATAGGAAAGTATTATGAAGTCACACTCAACAAGTTGTTAAGTTCATTTCCCCACATGCAACATAAAATTTTTTAAATCCATGTGTCATGAATTAAATTTATGATAGACATACTTATACTGTGCACAAACCGACAAGTTGTTGGTTCTCCGATGAATCAGTTTCCTCTGAACTTTTAATGATGGTGTCTTCACAAATGAAGAGGACTTCCCAGACCAAGCTTCACATGTTTTGAGATTAGTCGGACCTATAAAATGTGAAACATTGCTACTTTTCATATACAGAGTACTTTATATAAGATTACTCAACTGTCTCATTTACTACTAAACAGTTTTTTAACCGTGCTTTTTCAAAATTAATAATAACACTAGAGTAACATCTTGCCCATCTACTCAAGGAGTTTTGTACCTCAAAATCATACGAAAGTGAAACCCGAAAAAAGTTTGGCCAGGTCTACACCGTTTTTTAAGTATAAGGGCCCATTTGGTAACCCCTGTTTTTTGCTTATAAGCTTTATCAGCCAACTTTTTACCAAACATGTGATTTTTTACTTCACGCACTAAATCGGGAAATAATAAAAATAAGTTAGGTTATAGTTGCTTTTCTTACTTGTTGATTGGCTGAATTTAATATAGAGCACCCTTTTAGCTATTTTTTCGTTGTTTATAAACAAGATATATTTTTAAATATATTTTTATAATTCACCAAATTCAGCCAATGCAACCACTGAGCGATAATTTCATAAACTTCAACAGATCCAGCTAATTGAGGGATTCGACAATCTCAGTGTTACCAAGCCGACTCTAAATCATACAAATTCAGGGACCAGATAGCACCAAAGCAATTTCTGTGATAAAACATTTTCTTTACTGATTTACCTTGTTGTGATAATTCTAAATCCTGATGGATGTGATCCATTAACGATACAATAGTAATGAACAACAAATTTTCCATTTGTGCGTCAATCCGCATTTAGGATTAACATTGTGAAAGAGCTTAGACAATGTATGAGGCCAAACGCGATCTACTATGACATTCTTAATTCCCGCCCCGACTATCGTGATGAGAATCGCTCCAGGCATCTATACTACCGAACTGAAAGCTAAATCAACAAACAACCGCGGAAAGAACTCCCCGTGATAGAGATGAGGACAAAATTGAACTACAAAGAGTTACCTAGGGAAGCAGAGAAGAAGGCCACTCCAGTCGCCATGGGAGCTAACAATCGAAGCTGAGGTCGATGGATAGGATGAGTTGAAGAGATTTGAGTGCCTACTGAGATCCCAAAAGCTTTTGCTTCGAATGTATCGGAAATCCGAAAAATAGCATCCTTCCCAAATCCCAGAGCAATTATGTGGGCCGTGGGCCGGATATTTAAGTTAAAGCCCGTTTGATCTTGTTTTCAGCCTTTCAGGTGCTATGTGGCTCATTAACCAACTTCTTCTCCAAACATTTTTTTTAACTCAGAAGGCAAACCACCGAAATCACTGGATCACACGTCGGGTAATGTTTGACGTGTTTTATTAAAAATTGAAACGGTACAGAAGAGGAGGGGACAAAACCAAAACATCCTCAGAAAGGGCATACCCTTTCAGAAATACAAAAAAAAAAAAACAGATTTTTTTTGGGGGGGGACTAGTCCTGACCCAAAAAATACAAATAAAATAAGTATCTAAAAGAAGGAAGTCCAAAAATATTCATAAAATAGGCCTGTTTCGCTGCAGACATAAGCTCCTTAATCTCATTCATCACTTGTAAGTGGGTCGGTTCATTAGAAGCTAAAAACGGGCAACCCAGTTGCCTTCATGAACCTTATGGCCCAAAGAGACCTGAACATTGTCCGTCGGTCGCAAGCTTTCCTGAATTTCTTTTCTCCATTTCCGCACCTCCATACACTTCAGGCAGGAAACAGCGTTCATGGAGTCGGATTCCACCTCAAAATCCTTGTAATATGAGTGTGAGAACAAATATACTCTTGTTTTATTTTTTTAGAACAAACATACCTCTAATGATTATGTGGAAATGTATATATATCCATAAACATTTAAAAGGAGCAAAAATATCATTCATGCTCCTATAAATAAACAAGTTACCCTTATTGACTTTAAATAAATAAAATAAATGTTCAAAAAAACCAAAAATAAATTATAAGTTCGAAATTGAAAAAAGGGGTTAAAAATAATGATTTATTTTATTTTAAAATATTAACTCTTTAATTTTAAACTGTAAAATTAACTCTTTTATATTGGGATGGAAGAGGGTGACACAGTTTTTAAGAAAAAGTAGGTTTGCGTGGTTGATATTGATTGATAAAGTAAGAATTAAGTAAGAATGATTTTGAACCACACAAACTTTACCAAATATGGTATGAAACAATATTAGTGGGACTTCCCGAAAAGGTAAAACGGGACAATATAAGGAGGACGGAGGGAGTATTATTTTGTGAGTCTGTGACTTTGTGTAGATTGTGTATTATTATTTTTAGGGTTAACCGGTTAGGGAACCAATTTGACTATTAACTGAATTTTTCAGTGCATAATAAAACATTGTTTAATTCATTATAAACTTATAATGATTAAAAATAGAATTACAGATTATAGAATGATTTGTCTATTATACAATTGAAGATTAGAGAATATTTTATTTATTGTGTCGACGTGTAAGAAAGATTTGAAAATTCGAATTTAATTTCAGAACAAGGAATACTTATTAGGTTTGTGTACAACAATTGTTTTTTCTTGTTAGTTTTATAATTTTATAGAAGTATTTTAATTCATACCAATAATGAAAATGTTTTTTAGAATGGTTAATGAACATATTGCCAAGAAAGTAAAATGAAATGAATATTTACTTAATATGAAATTGAGCTTGATTTGGGTTCGATAAATTTTCGGTGTTTGATTTTAAGACACGATGAACATGCTCGAATGTATATAGAAGTTTAGAGTATACTCTTTAATAGATTCAAAATTCCAATTATTCAATAAATCTCGAATCCTTTATACGGAGTAATCATTAATAAATTTATAAACTTGCGCATTGCAAATGTTAAAATTTTAAGACATACTTCGTATTTAATTTATTTCTATAATTTGTAAACGAATGATAGGCGGCTCAAGCGCGGATCAAACCAAACATCACCATGTCCGAATTGGGCTTGAATAATTATTCAAACTCAAAATTTAGTCTGTGTTCGATTTTGAAGCTCGTTAAGCTCGAATTATTAAATTTGAGGCAAAATCAAGCTCAAAATTGAGTATATAATTCGAAAATAGCTTGATTCGATAATAGCCCAGAGCTAAACCTTGTATGCATAGTAACATTTTTTTACTGCTTAGTATGCCCCATATCTAAATCTTGGATTCGTCCCTGAGTACAATGATGCTGTTAAATTAGCCTATCATAATGCGAGGTGAGCAATTTTGACCGATTGTCAGGGACGGGTTAGTCCTATATCTCACCCCACGATTGCTCTGAGCTATTGATTTGTTTTGTCACTTTTCACTTCCATTATTATTAATAAATAAATGTTCTTTAAAAAAATGTTTTGATAAAATAAAAGCAAAGTGGAGAGTGTCATCTCAGTCAAGTTCACCGTGACCTGATTGATGACTTGTCCAATAATTGGAAGTTCGATTTTAAGGTAACTCGAAGAGATGGTGTAGAGCATCCGAATGTAGCGTGTCTGTCTTGGTCAAATGGCACGTGGCCGCGTGTCATGTCATCCATCACACTTGACGTACGCGGCAGATTCTTCACCCAGGCGGCCGCAGCTATAAAGAACGAAATCGGTGGATATATACAGAGCATATAAAACAACTATTCAGATGGCGAATGCGGTGGAGAAGAGTTCCGGATTGCCGTCTGCGGCGGCGGGGCAGGACGAGCTGCTGAAGAAAGGGATTGCTGAGTTCTACGACGAGTCGTCGGGGATATGGGAAGACATATGGGGAGACCATTTGCACCACGGCTTCTACGACAAGCAGGCCGCCGGCGTCTCCCTCTCCGACCACCGCGCCGCTCAGATCCGCATGGTCGAAGAGGCCCTCCGATTTGCCTCCGTTTCCGGTACGCTCCTAATGCCGTCCGTCGCTTTTTATGGTTCTGTGTGCGGGCGGGGCATATGCTTTTGTTTTTGTCCCGATACATTTAAGAAAACATTCGATCGCAAAACTACTTTTTGAAATTATAATTGTACAATTAAATCATTTAAATATAAATAGATGATGAAATAACTCTAATTTATCTCGATTCGATTTTCAGTAACAATGTTTTCTTTTGCCAGAAAGAAGCAAATAACAATGTTTTTAATGGGACCAATTTTACTATCAAATTAAACGGATCAGACCAAAATCAAGTTGACCAAATCAGACCTAATCATTTCACATCAAATCAGATCAAATAGAAACAAAACAGAACAAATCCTGTAAGTCCAGAAAGTTACGCTCTAATTAAAAGCATTTAAATAGATAGGTACCACATTTCAATGTGATACCTATCTATTCGACATAGGCATGGCAATGGGTCGGAGCGGGGCGGGTCCGCCCTGCTCCGTGACCTGCACGGGTCCAAACTTGTTGACTCATGACCCGCGCTATGCAGGGCGGGTCCGCCCCGTCGTAACCTAATTTGCTAGTATGTATTTTTATCTGTGGGAAATTGTTACCTATTGAATCTACATAAAGTTTATCTCTAAATAATAATTATAAATTAATATATTAAATCAAATTCATGATACGCTAAAAATTTCGAAAATTAAGGAAAAATTACTCAGACTTAAATTGAATATATGTATTAAAATGCTATATATAAAGAAGACATTGATAATCTGTCTTTCATCTCATTCTAATATATGTATATATTAATATATTATAAGATCAAAATAATTATGATTTATTGTATATACACATATGTAGGTTGAAGTATATTTGTAGTATAATTTAAGAAAAAGTATGTATACTTATATATTGAGCGGGTCGGGTCGGGGCGGCACGGGTCAATACTAATACCTGGACCCGCCCCATTGTATAGGCGGGACGGGGCGGACCCGCCCCATTTGCAAGACTGGGCGGGGCGGACCCGCCCCAAATGTCTCGGGCCAGGGTGGGTCATTGCGGGTCGGGTTTTTTTGACATCTTTAATTCGACGGTGAATAGTGAGTTGATTTCATCCCTTTGAATAATACTCTCTCCGTCCTGAAAGAAGTTCCACATTTGACTTTCACACACTTTTATGCAAGTAAACTTATCAGGAGGTAAATTTTAATGTTTTAACACTGTTTCGACACTGTTTGACACTGTTTTACACTGTTTGGCACTGTTTTGATGTAGATAACTTTTCATTTAAGGAAATGAGAACTTAAATTAGGGACATCCAAATAAGGAAAATGGAAACTTCTTTCGGGGACGGAAGAATATTCTAAGTGTCACTTAGAATATACTACGTACAAAAAAATGTATCAAAAGAATGTGAACATGAACCTCATCTTAACTTTGCCTAAGATAAAAAAAATTACTCCAACAATATTAGTATTTTCCTGAAAATCAAGAAAATCAGTAGGTGATACTCCTTCCGTCCCATTATAATTGTCTGACTTTTCCTTTTCCGCCCATCCTACTAGTTTTGTCTCGTACCATATTTGACAATATTTGTATTTCTTTAATTCATTCTTACTTTATTCTCACTTTATCAACTCATTATCAACCACATAATTCTAATTTTCTTTAAAATCAAATCACTCCCTTTCGTCCCAATATTAGGGGGATGGAGGTAGTAATAATTAAGGTATAAATGATACTCCCTCCGTAACATTCATATCTTCCCAATTTCCCTTTTTAGCCGTAACATTCGTATCTTCCTATTTCTAAATCTTCTCATCATACGCTTAATAATTTTGAAAATAATACACTATTACAACAACTTTTTTGGATTTATCCTTCATTCACTCACGACATTTCATTATCTTCTCATTATACCCTCAATAATGTATATCATCTTTCACTATTCTTAATCTCCCCTACTTTTAAATGGGAAGATATATATGGTATAAAAGAGAAGCAAGACTATTAGAAATGAGAAAAGAAAAGGTGAGAAAGAAAATACTTTGTTCGTTTTTAGTTGCAAAAAATCCATTTTTGTTCATGCACAGATTTGACCTATAATATATTTCAATCCTTATTAGTAAAAAATTCTTTTTAAAAAAATAAGTGTTTGCAAAAATGAGAAAATTTTAACTATGTAATTCAAAATAAAATTTATAATACATTTAGAAAACGTAAAAGAACGGACATAGTACGTGAATAATGTAAAATTCAACATGTTGCAACTAAAAACGAAGGTAATAAAAAAATGAGAAAATCGCACATTTAGTCCCTAAAATAGTCACCAAATGAAAATGTCAGACCCGTATTTATGGGATTGTAAATGTTACCTCTCAATTGTC